TTTTTTTTATTAATCAGTGATACTGATACTAATCAATGATACTAAATTGACTGCTGATCGACAAAGACACACAGCGCCCTCTAATGGCATAATATCGCGTATGTCGCATGTTGAAACGTCATCATACAGCGACAATGTATTTTTCTTCTATTAAAAGGAAAGTAAGAGTAGTTTTTCTTTTACGCTACGCTGAGAGTCAGAACTAGTTTTATGTCATTTTTATCATAAAGTACACGTTTTACTGTTATATTTACTATCAACATACAAAATAAACGTCCTAGGAAGTCCTTTTTCAGTGTCTAAACACAAGGCTCGTTTTCGTCTCTGATGTCCAACTATGCCACAACTCGTCGATATAAAGGTTCCAGGAGAATGTAATACTCTTCCTGAAGGGTTTTGGTCGGCGATAGATGTGTGGTTAAAGAAACCTCACGTTCTAAACAAGCGTCTCTGCGGAGTTAAAGAGACGGAGAGCAAAGACTTGCGGTTCCCGTTTGACGACCCTCTTTCTGAACTCTCCTCTGATGTGTTGTCCTTCATAAACAGCGGGTGTTCACCAGCAAAGCCACACGAGCAGGACAAACGCTGGTCCTCCACTGTCAGAACCTTTATTCCTAAAGTAAACTGTTATGGGAAAACCCTGCATAAAGATGTTGTAGTGAAAGGTAAGAACTGGACCTGAAGGCTCCGCCAGGCTGTTTTCTTCTCTGACCTTTTATTTATTTCTTTGTCTTGTCTAGACTTTGGCAGACAACAAGTGACCTTTCTTCCATTTGAAGAGGATGCAGAAGGGCAGGTGTCTCTGAAGAAGGGCAACATTTATCAGATTCAGCTCTGCCATCACCACCGTGAGGAATGGTGAGTGAAATCATTCTTCAGCAAAGTCCAAACAGAGTTACAGACCAGACAAAATTGTCTGAATGTCTTAATATAATCCAAAATAGCAGGCATATTTTTTTTCAGACATATTAACAGAATATTTGACATAAGATTACAAGTACTGAATCTTCCTCTTCATGTTAGTATTTGCAATGAAGTACTTAATGTCTTAAAAAGGACTAAAATAAAAGATTGCTAATGGATTAAATATTTGTGTGGCAAGTAATGCTCTTATGCCAATTTAATTGTTGAGGAAAACAAAATGCATATGGGCGACAAACCTTGATGTGAAATCAAAAGTCATGTCACCATGCTCATATATTTGACTCTTATGCAGATGAAAGCTGACGCATGCAGGGAAATGTACTTTTCGATGGTAGCAACAAGCATGAAGAATGTTTGCTCAAATTGTTCCAAACTGTGTGGTTTGTATTATGAAGCTGAC